AAAATTTATTTTTTTTTTGACATTTTTGTGTGAAAAATGCGTCGAAAATTTTTTGTATCCCTAAATTTGAAAACACCCCAATACACATTTAATATCACTTTTGAAAGAAAAATTAATTTTTTTCCATCGGCATCACACCAGACATGAAACTCTATCAACCAAGTGATTTCTATTCCTCGGGACTCCCAATCATCATGTGAAGTCAGATTTGTAACTACTTTTATTGTTTGAAAGTTGTTAACCAATTTTTGCGTTTAGCGTACAGGGTATGCAAATACATTCGGATATCGATAATACAGCTGATTCATGTTCTCTGGTCCCGCAAACACACAGAAAATATGTGGGGTGGTAATTTTTCGACCGATTCCAATACTTTAACTTACACGTGTGTGCGGAAAAGTAATATAATGATAACAATAACTTCTATTGTTTTCACTGAGCTCAGTTGTATATATGAACCGCCTAGAATAAATCAGCATTACTAGATAAATGTCTTCAAATGCGTTATAGAAAAAAGTACGTCAGCAATAGTGTCAAAAACTATATGTGACGCGTTATATAAAAAAGTTCGCCAACAAAAGCGTGACATCGTCCATACATTTTATAACGCTTTTGCTGACTGAGTTTTTTCAGTAACGCATTTGAAGACATTTATCTAGTAATGTTGATTTATTCTAAGTGATTCATATAAACAATAATTCCGAACGATATTATCAAATTGACAATGTCCATGCCCTTAGGCGGGGTTCGATTTTTTGCACATTTATTTCGAACCACGCATATTTTGGAATTATAATAATTTTTTAATAAGTGTTCTCACAACAAAATCAGTTAGAAAAAAATTCCTAGCTCTGGAGAAAATTAATTAGAGGGTTAATATCAGTTTTCAATCTCAAAATACGATATATTGGCATTTTTTAAATTGTTTCAAACTTTTTCAGAGCTATGTTTTGACATTTGGATCCAGCATAGGCTTAAACCAGTACTGTCCAGTAATTTATTCATTATTATTCCGAATAATTATTATAATCAACAATAAATATATTCGACATAACCACATAAATATTTCAATGAAATTTTTCGTGATGTTTTTATCTTAATTAAATTCATATTGCAAAACCACATAAGTGAATAAATTATTATATGATTATTATACAATGAATTATGAATTTAAGAGGCTTTTTTAGCACATGATAAAACGAAAAATGAAGGGAAGTCTAGCTGTAGTCAGCGTGAACTTCCGTATTATCTTAAACAAAAATTATGACATACCTTTATTATATGATGCTTACACTAATTGCTTTGGCGTCCAATAAAATTTTATCTGCAATAATTATTTCGCTTTATTTTTTAACTAAATAAATATAATTTCAAGGTGAAAACAGGTAATTAAGTCGTATTAACATATTACGTGCTGTGATTTGACACGAAAATGGTTCTACCACAGATGAGAAAGAAAGAGATCGTTCGTAAGGTAAGAACAGAGACGGACAAAATGGTGGTTCGATTTTCGATGTTTTTACTTTCATAGATTTTATTCTTTATAAACTTTCAAGTGGTCAAATCATACAGACTTATCAATCCAGGTAAACATCTTTTAAAAATGTTAAAAACCAGCAAAATTAAGAATTTCACTAGTCATCAAATTTGAATTTCTAGTAACGACCATAGCATGATAGGGCTGTGTCCACTAGGGTGTTTGCACATGGAAAATATTAAAAAGTGGCTAGCATCATTTTGAAGAGCGTAAAATTCTGTATAAGATCATTTGATTTTCGATGCTGATTGGTCGCCGATGTCACTTCCTGGACCAAAAACACATTTGTAAATTTATTTCATGTCGCATTCACGCCAGAATCTGTAATTAATGAAATTTTGAGATTTAACAAAATTAAAAACATGAAAAATAATTTTAATATCAATATTATTGCTTAAATATTTAAAAAGTAACACAAAAACTAACAATTTTACCACAATAAACCAAAACAATGCAAAATCGCCAATTCATTTGACACATAACCTGTCATTTGTCATGCGTAAGCGAATCACGCTTCAAATGTCATTCTGTCAAATGAATTGGCGAATTTGCATTGTTTTGGTTTATTGTGGTAAAATTGTTAGTTTTTGTGCTTTTATTAATATTTAGGCAATTATTTTGATATTAAAATTATTTTTCATGTTTTTAATTTTGTTCAATCTTATATTTTCATCAATTACAGATTTTGGCGTGAATGCGACATGAAAACAATTTACAAATGTGTTTTTAGTCCAGGAAGTGACATCGGTAACCAATCAGTATCAAAAATCAAATCATCTTATACAGAATTTTACGCTCTTCAAAATGATAATGGCCACTTTTTAATATTTTTCATGTGGAAACACCCTAGCTGTCCACTGATTACTGAGCCATGCTAATTGAGACCGCAGCACATTGGAGTTTTTTAAATATCGGCGATATAATACCATAATAAACACTTGATCTCGTGGTATAAAAATTATGGTGCAGTTTGTTCAAAACTTCAACTCAAAAAAGACCAATTTCATCATTTTCCTTCACACATTTCAATAATAATAATAGTAACTGCAGTCATAATTAAAATTTATTAATTATTATAAAAAATTTCCTTTATGTTTTCAATTTATCTATTCTGTTTTAAATATTTTTCAATTCTTGGTTTAACAATTGATAAATTCCTTCTAATTAGTATATCAAATAGCGGCGTGGCTCTGGTATTATGCACTGAATCATAATAATTTAACTGTTTGATATATGACTCGACTTCATATCTCCATTAATAATTTTGAAGATGAAAGACACTTAAGTCAGAAGAAAGAAACAGCTTTCATATTTTGGAAGCCTGTAACTATTTCAGCGCTAAAGTAAAAACTGTTTTTGTATTGACCAGAGGTCGCAACGGGGCCCCGACCCGAACACCCGACCGACGACCGCCCGAGCCCGACCCGAAAAAATTCGGGGTCGGGCGGGATTCGGGCTGGCTATTTCGGATCTTCGGATATTTCGGTATTTTCGGACTTTTTGAAAAATATGATTTTTCGGAAGAAATTTAAAATTCGGTAGTACGGGATTTCATTATTTTTCGGTATCAGGTGTGCCCGAAGACCGAAAATTATTCATTTAATATGTAACATTTGTCAAAAGACAAGTTAAAAAAGATTTTACCCGAAATGCATCAATATTTTTTTGTAATGCTCTTTCATGATTTTTTCAAAAAAAATATACAGGGTGTCTCATATATCAGGCTCACTATCAGGACGTGCCAAGTTTTTTGAAATTCGCACGAATGCTCTTTCACGATTTTTTCAATATGTCTCTTTCATGTTCTATGTTGAATAATAATATTAAATGAATTTGCACATAGATAAACGTAAATAGTATTTATTTGAGTTTTTTGTAGTATAAATATTAGATAAGTTCTAACGAGTTTTAAAGAGCTTCGAGCGTTTTTATAAATGAAAACAATTCTTTCAACAATTTTATTTTAAATCAATAATTTTACGATCTTCAAATATTTCGGTTTTTCAATTACTGATGCTAAACATTCTTTCAACGGATGATGATGACGCTGGGATAGCTGCAAACGATAAAAAATATCGAAAAAGCCTTGGAAATTGTTGGGCATTTTGCTCCCAGAATTCAATTACCGAAAGCCCTTTCTGATAAGGCACTTGAATATACGCGTCAATTTCATCCGATATGGTCATACATCTGCTATTGCATGCACTCATATCTTCTAAGTCTCCAAAGAGCGATTGAGTTTGTTCGATTGGTAATATTGTATTGGTATTATATATATATTCTTGTGCCTCTGTTTTCATTTTGTGTACCGTCGAATGATCTCCGATCGCATGCTGAATATGTTTACGTAGCATTTCGTGGCAGGGTAATATCTTAACCGCTGTCACTTCCGTATCGCCTTCCACTTCTTTAGTGAGCAAATAAAATTTTTCCAGAAAAGAACAAACGGCTTTAAGCTCTTCGAAGTTCAGAGACCTAAATAGTCTTTTTATGTCTGTTCTTTTCGGATTTATTTTCAACTCAATTTCTCCGTAAACGGCAAGCATTGATTTTAATGATATATAGAATGAGTTCCAACGCTATTGACTCTATTCTTTTGCACGTATTGTCGTAGTGTAGATTCCATATTCGATAATTGGTAATACAAATGTAAAATAAAATGTCTTACATCCGTAAGATGAACTTTTCCACACTGTGATCCACAACATGCATTTATTACAACTCTTTTACTCAAAGAATTCACGAGAAAACTGAATCTGACATTAGTTTTACGATACAAATAATTTTCGAAGCACTTTTCATACAAAAACTACTAAAAATGGGAATTTTTGTATCGCAGCCATGCCTATATGATATCGTAAGCATGTGAAAATTTGCAGAGGTTATTTTTTTCACAAAAAGTTAACATTCTGAAAGTTTGAAGAAAATTTCAATGAATATTAGGGGTACTTTCCATACAAAATATCGTTTTTGAGCGAAAAATCCAAAATTTTGTTCGGGAGGTACCCCTAATATGCGTTGAAATGTCTTCAAACTCTCGGAATGGCATTTTTGTGTGATAGAAATATCCTGTGCAAAGTTTCAGCTCATTACGATATCACACAGGCATGGCTTCCATACATAAATTCAATTTTTTTGACATTTTTGTATGAAAAGTGTATCATAAGTTATTTGTATCGCAAAACTAACGTCATATTCGGTTTTCTCGTACCCAAAACCCCCCCAATACATATTTTTGAGTGTTTAGGATTAAATTAAATATCACTTTTGGAAGAAAAATTTAATTTTTCCTATGGATGGTCATAGGCATCACACCAGACATGACACTTTACTCTGTCAACCAAAGTCGCTCAAAATCTAATGGTTTCTATTCCTCGGCATCCCCAATCATCTTGTGAAGTCAGATTTTGAATTACTTTTCTTGTTTGAAAGTTATCGTGTTAACAAATTTTTGCGTACAGCGTACAGGGTACAGGGTACGCACATACATTCGGACATCGAAAAACCGCTAGATTCGTGTTCCCTGGCCCCAAAAACACCCCAAAAACACATTTTTGATGGGTGTTAATTTTTCGACCGATTCCAATACTTTACCTTACACACTAGGTGTGTGCGGAAAAGTAAAAGGTCTTTTCGCAAAAACCCTAGCAAATCGAAATAATTTTGGACGGTCGTCGGGGGGGGGGGGGGCTAGCTCGGACGATTTAAGGGGGGGTTATCCGGGCTAACACCCCCCTGTGCCCACGTATGTACTCAAATCATTCAAATGATGATATCCGGGCCAACCATTTACCACATAATCACAAATGCGTTTGTAATTTTCGTAAGATTGCAATATCTGCTTTTGAACCTGATAGTTCATGTAAATCAGATACTTCCGGCAACTGTGCTCGAGAAAGGCAATCGGCCAATAAGAAATTTTTTCGGGCTTATATACGATCTCCATTATTGGATATTTTAATAATGACATTAACATTCTCTGTAATCTTGGCGTTACATCATCAAAGACTGAGCAAAGACTGCTGTTAATATGAGCAAAGACTGCTGTTTCTACAAATGATTACGCTGGAGGAAAGACGCAAGATGGCGCAAGTGTCTTTCATCTTCAAAATTATTAATGGAGATATGAAGTCAACTCATATATCAAACAGTTTAAATTATTATAATTCAGCGTATAATACCCGTGCAATACCGCTTTTTAATATTCCAGTTAGAGGAAGCGATTACACACAATGTGAACCGATTAATTATATGCTTATTACATTCAATGATTATTATACAAAGAAAATATCAAATTGTGATACTAATTTGATTGATTTAGAAGTAAATTTATCGACGGTAAAGCTGAGAATTGAGAAATATTTGAAAGAAAATAGATGAATTGTAAACATAAATGAAATCTTTTTATAATAATACTCATTTATCTCTTTCCAAACTGCTTGATGCAAGAATTTAATCAAATTGTATTTATTTAAATTATTTTGAATAAACCACCAAGGCGAAGGAACGCTGTTCGGTGCAGTTATTATTATTATTAATATCACATTTCATCAATGTGGCAAGTGGCTTGTGATCACCCTCGACAGTAAATTCACGACCGTAAATAAGGTAATGAAAACGTTGGCACGCAAAAACATACGCCAACAATTCTTTCTTAATTTGTGCCCAATTTTGCTTGGTCTTAATGAGTGTTCTTGATACAAACCCAACTGGATGACCGTCTTGAATCAAACCCGATCCCAGGCCGTCTTTTGATGCATCAGTTTGAATAACAACCGGTTTATTTGAATCATATG